TCATGAATCTGTCATGAACCCGAGCAGGCAAGCGGACCGGCCTCGTAGCTCTGTGCTGTTTCATTATGGCTTCATTCACGCCTCTTGAAGCTCCAGCAGGCCTGAGCTGATTTCCTGGGCTTAGATTCACTGCCATCGCGTCCAAGAAAATGTGGGAAATATTCAGAAAATTACGGAATACATAGTAAGGGTAGAAAGTGAATGGGCATCATACATTTGTCGCTGGCTTGATTGAACAGTTGTACCTTCCTTGGCTCAGATTTACGCGCTCAGACGCGGTCGTTGCTGGCGGGGCACTAGGAAGCTGCAGCTGCGTGCGAATAAGAGATAAGCGCGCCAACCAAACAGAGCAATCGCGCTTCACATGGACATGTCAACACCACCGTCATCAGCCTTCAGTCAACGGCATCCAAGAACCATGGCTGCCGCCGTTGCGACATCCAAGTGGAAGACCCGCCGACGGCGTGTCTACCAGTCTGTCTTCCAAACGGACATCACACAACCAACTCCCCACTCCACACCATCTTCCAGATTCACAGAGCAGGGTCAGCCATTCGGTGGACATACCCCTCTCTCCGAGTTGAAGCACCGGCTTCACAATGCAAATTACGCCCTAGCCGCTTCACCAGACCCCGCCCCTGGCACCCTGCAGCCACCGTCGGGCCATAGGAACACGACAGACGACCCGGACCACCGGAGTGTGGGCACATCATCATCATACACCCCTACGGTTGCTGCTAGCTTTGCATCACCAACTCAGCCACCACCAACAAGACACTTTGGGCTGCAGGATGCTGCCGAGGACCAGATGCGGTACGACCGTGCCTGGCATGTCGTCACTTTGAGGATTGCTCTGCCCGCCTCCGCTACTGCCGAGGACTCTTTCGGAACCCTAGCCTCCGAATCCCAGTACCAGTCTCAGGGCCAAGGGACGAGCTCAGAGTCCGAGTTCTACGAGGCTCTCCGGCTGGTCGTGAACGCCCCGACGGCTCTACCGCGGGCGGCTCATACCGAGGACTTGCTCTTCTGGCACACGCAGCAGGTGCGGAGACACTTTGCTCAGCATGTGCTGCCGCTGCTGTCTGCTTGCGCGGAGGGGCTGTTGGGAGAGGAGGACCTGAGGGACCCTACAGGCAGAGGATCGTATGAAAAGCACATGATCATTGTCATGAGCAGCGTGCGGACACTGGAAGCTGCAATGAGACTGTACTCGTACGGCATGCAGCTGCTCGTCCGAGGAATCCAGCGAGTCCAGGCCGCAGACAAGGAGAACGCCGCTGCTGACCCGGAGCTCAGCGCCGGCCGCTTCCGCCGGGATGTCCACGCGCTGGTGAGCAACTCTGCGTCTCCGCAACTGATGAGATCACTGCGAGTCGTCCTGGTCCATCTCGTGGGAAACACACTTGGCGTTCCGGCCCAAAAGCAGGGAAGGCAGGACCGCGATGCCGAGACAACTCGGCCAGCACCGCCCACGGAGAATGACCTCAACTCGCTTGCATCTCGGAAACGCCTGCTTGAGCTTCTTGACCCGCTATACAGCGTTGGCCTTGCTGGCGAGAGATTTCAGATACTCTTCGCCGAGGTCATGGACGGCATGATGTCGGAATTCGTGAAGGGGGCGTACGCTGGTGTCTGGGCATCACCCACCGAGCAACACGGTCTTGTGAGAAGCACTTCGATCACAGGTCTGCAGGCTACGAGCCCGGCATCCTCGTCTCCTTGCATCTCCTCTCTGTGTAACTGGGTCGAGAACCACTACGCACGCTTAGCGATCGAGGTGCTCAGCCGGATCACCGATGATCCGAGCCAGCCACCCGTGACTCTGTCTGATGTTAAGACCTACCAGTCACTTGCTCTCGGTCGTCTGGCTGCACTGCGGATATCAGAGCTCTTTGACATTGTGCTGGCCTGGCCCAGTTCACGCGGTGCCCTGGACGACCTGCGGGCCGCCATCACCACACCGGCACGGAGGCTACAGCTGACAGATTCCTTCGCAGAGGCGCTGCGCCGGCGGCTGCTTCATCCCGGCCGGTCGACCCTGGAGATCCTCCAGACCTACATCGCCATGATCCGGACCTTTCACGCGCTCGATCACAGCAAGGTGCTCCTCAGCCGCGTGTCGCCGAATTTGCAGCTCTATCTGTGCGGTCGCGAGGATGCTGTGCGTATCGTCGTGACGGGACTACTAGCCTCAACGGAGGAGATCAGAGCGGCCAGAATGGAGAAGCAGATGCGAGAGGAGAAAGAGGGGATGGGCAGAGGCAGACAGGCAAGGACTCCTCGGAGCGGCGCGTTCATGACGCCAGCCCTACCGCCACGGAGAGGCTTAAGGTCAAGACACGGCACGCCCGACGTTGAGGAAGCCGGCATCAGAGACGTTCCGCCTCCATCCGCATCTACAGCCGGCGGCACCCACAGCACCAAACTCGTCGAGCTCGCTCTCCTGATGACAGACCCTGTCCAATCCCGCCGTGCAGGCGGCGCAGACGAGGACGCAGACCTAGACTGGAACGACATGAGCTGGGTGCCAGACCCCATCGACGCGGGCGCCAACTACAAGCGGCCGCGCAGCGAGGACGTCATCGGCACCCTGATCTCCGCGCTGGGCTCCCAAGACACGTTCATCCGCGAGTTCCAAGTGATCGTGGCCGAGCGACTCCTGTCCGACCAGGCCCGCTTCGACCAGGAAGTCCGCGTCCTCAACCTCCTCAAGAAACGGTTCGGCGAGGCAGCCCTGCAAAACTGCGACGTCATGATCCGCGACATCCAGGACTCGCGCCGCCTCGACGGCGCCATCCGCAAGGTCCAGGGCGTCCAGGACGGCGAGCAGCCGAGACCGCCGCCGGCCGCGACGCCGACCAACCCCAAGACCCGCTCCCGCCCCGCGCCGCCGTCCGCCTCGCCGTCCGCGTCGTCGACCGAGGCGCCCTACCACGCCCGCATCCTCTCCCGCCTCTTCTGGCCGAGCCTCGAGCGCGAGCACTTCCTGCTCCCCGCGCCCATCTCCGAGCAGCAGAAGCACTACGAGCAAGGCTACGAGCACCTCAAAGCCTCGCGCAAGCTGACCTGGCTCAACCAGCTGGGCCAAGCGACCGTCGAGCTCGAGCTGCAGGACCGCACCGTCGCGGTAGACTGCAAGACCTACGAAGCGACAGTCATCTACGCCTTCCAATCGTCCGACACAACCCCGGCCCGCATGACAGTGTCGGACCTCGAGGACCAGCTGCAAATGGACGACGACCTGATCACCTCCGCCCTGTCATTCTGGGCATCGAAAGGCGTCCTCGCCCGGCGGGGGGACACCTACATCGTCCTCGAGACAGCGCCCGCCTCCGACCAAGCCCTCACCTCCTCCGCCCCCGGATCGCCCGAGGCAGCCGCAGAGTCCGAACCCGCCGCCGCGGCCGTCGTGGTCGACGAGAAGGAGGCGGGCCGGCGGGCCGTGTACTGGCAGTACATACGGGGCATGCTGACCAACGCCAGCGCGACGATGCCGCTGGGCCAGATGGCCATGATGATGAAGATGCTGATCGCGGACGGGTTCCCCTGGAGCAACGAGGAGCTGCAGGAGTTCCTGGGCGAGAAGGTCGGGGACGGCGAGCTGGAGATTGTGGGGGGGAAGTACAGGCTTGTTAGGAAGTAGCTTTGTCGCATGGAGGGAATTGGGAAAGGGAGTATGGGATGGGATGCATGCGTGATTGTGCCTGGCAGGGTGGTGCGGTCTTGACGCTGATAGCATTGGGCTGGCGCGTTGCTTGGATGCATGTATAGGGTAGGTGGAGTATGGTAGGCACGGCATACACATATCTTTCTCTGGAAGCAAGGACAGGTCCCTTGGACATATGCAGATCATGAGACAGCAGGATTATTACTCTAATCTCAGGAACAATTCCTAATCATTGTCCCATGAGTCTAGTGGGACGCTTCAGACATTCTCATCCAACATGTGAAGGCTTCTCGTTTGTCGCATCTTCGCCCGTCAAACTACTTCCTTCTACATTTCCACAGACTCACTCGATATAAGGCTAGCACAGTGAATAGGAAGATACCACATCTGATAACTTCAATGCTAGACCTCTAATCCTTCTCAACTCCTGAAGATGTGTGCTGGCCACACCTCGGCGACTAACACACCCGACCTCCACACTGTATGACCCGCCATACCGGGTTTGGATCATATGCAATCAAGGGGGTGTAGTCTAGTGGTTATGATTTCTGCTTTGCAAGCTCTTCCGAGCTCTGAATTGCAGAGGGTCCCGTGTTCAAATCATGGCGCCTCCATTGCTTTTTGCTGTTCCCGCAGTCTGTCTCTCGACATCGAGTCGAGATGCACATTTTGCTATCGCGCAAAAGCTGCATTGCGAATGAAGAAGGAGTGATTGTCTTCTTCCTTTTTGGTTGCTTTAATGGTAAAAGCATTGTACGCGAATTCATCTACAGCTACTAGTTTAGTTTTGTATGTACATACATACATGTTACTTAGACTGCCTTTACTTTAGAACAGCTATGTTATCGACTATGTATGTTACCTCTTCAATGTTTTGTGCAGCAGATGCCGACTGGAAGTACACTTGTGGCAGGATTACGCATGTTAGCGACCTTGCCCTATCTCGAGGTTCGTACTTAACTAGACATCTTATGGTCGCATCATCTAGCCTTTTAGTACTCTACTTGTTTAGTCTTTGAATCTTTCAGTCGTCTAATCGTCTAATCGTTTGATTACTTTGTCGTCTCATCGTCTTTTGCGATTTTGACAGTTTGGAACAGCATAGCGAACTCTTCTGGCGCTGCAGCTATTACGCGTGTCGCTCACTCAACATGCGAGCATAGGCACTGCGACAGATGGGCCTGCGGGGAGTCGTCTGCGGGCCACAACTGACTCGCCGTCCCCTAGCCAAGCAGCCAACCCACCCCAAGAACAGAGCTAGTCGCCTGCAGAGACAGGCACCGGAAAACCCGGAATCCCGGCCGCTCTTCCATCGATCAGCAATGATCACCTCGGTCCCATAGCTCAGTTGGTTAGAGCGTCGTACTAATAGATTCACACACACCACAGTCTCCCCTGGAGCTGTGATGGGGATCCATCAAGTAAATGCGAAAATGCGAAGGTCTTGGGTTCAACCCCCAATGGGACCATTTCTTTTGCCGGTTGATCAAACTTTTTACTGCAACGGTCGTGACTTGCTGGCGGCACTGCCCCTCCCGACTTCAGCTTAGGCCGAGGAGGCCAAGCGTCTCTGGAATCAGCTTTTGTTGCTTCTCGTGGCAACACCCGCGTGCGATAGTGAGAGGACGGAGCATAGTCCGGTGTTCCACGTTCGGGTTTGACCTCTGCATGCGCGAGAAAGCGGCATGCAGCCTCGTCCTCGCCTGGCAGTTCCCCCGGGCGACTGAGAGCCGCAAACGAGAAGCACTCGCGCTCTGTTGGTCAAGGACGAACGCTCGATCCGATGCAAGATGCATGCTATGCCATTCGGGTTCGTTTCCCAAGGGATAAACGCCAGTTCGATTGAACTGGTTCCTTGTCATACATGAGCTGTCATATGTGGCAAACTCGTGTTGGGGTTGAAAGTTCCAACCGGAAACCGTGGGTTATATCCTCCGGATACGCAAGCTGTATCGTATCGCCGCTTGACGATATGTTCGCAACAGTTGAGAGGAAGGCGAAGTTTCAAATGCTGCAAAATGGCCTGAACTAAAGCCGAAGAAGCACGTCGGCTGGTCGCAAAGCATCCGAACTTACATCGGACGAGAAGCCGGGCGTCAATTGCGGCAGTGAAAGGATATAAGCCAGATTGACGAACACGACGAGGAGATTCGCGCAACAGTCAGAAATGAGAACCGGACGCAAGGCTCCAAAAGAAGCAAGAGGCAAACTGTGGCGTCGGAGCGGATGGAACGTCGTGGCAGTTGAGTCCCGGGAGAGGGACTCCCCCTCCTGGGACAGGGACGCCCTCCTAACCGCTTTTGTAATAGCGTCCCCAGCCGACCCACTGCAAGCCCACCCACACCTATTTTGCCAGCTGCACTACAATTGTAAGGCCTACACCACTGCAATTGCAAGGCCTACACCACTGCAATTGCACGACCTACACCATATAACCCTAACCCTGCCAAACCTACTGCAATTACAGGGCCTACACCACTATAATTATAAGGCCTACACTACTACAATTGTAAAGCTTACACTACTACAATTATAAAGCTTGTACTACTATAGTTACAAGGCTTACACTAGGTACCTTTACTACAATTGTAAGCTTTATACTCTTACAATTAGAGGCCTTGCAATTGTAGTAGTTGCAGGCCCTGTAATTGCAGTGGGTTTGGCAGGGTTAGGGTTATATGGTGCAGGTCGTGCAATTGCAGTGGTGTAGTGCAGGCCTTGCAATTGCAGTGGTGCAGGCCAGCTGGCAAGTTAGATGTGGGTGGGTCTAAAGTAGGTTAGTCATGCGTGCTATTCCAGATGTGGTTAGGAGGGCGTCCCTCGCCCAGGAGAGGGAGTCCCTCTCCCGGGACTCGTGGCAGTTATGTACGAATGTTCGCATCTGCCTGACTTGCACGGCAAAAGATTGATTTGCCCCGTCAAACGGGCACATTCCTGCGGTTCGCCTCTTTCGCTACGCCCAGTAAGCATCGCAAGGGGCATCTTGCTTGTCTTGCCAATGCCGAGAGCGTACAGCTGTCCGAAACGGACGGCCCTGGTCAGTGATGCTGAGTGATGGAATCACGAGGTAAGACATCGGCTGGCGGCGGACTGAGACAGCTTTGGAAGGCGTTCGGCCAGGCTGGAGGACGAAAACGAGAACTAGAAAGGAAGGCGATGAACTCTAGTCATTTCCGCGAGCCGTCTCCGCAAACCGCGGGACCAAAGGCAGGAAGGCGGACGCCAAAGGACATTTGAGTGCATATTCATTCTGCTCGCGTACCGGGTTGCTCGCAGGACAACTTCCTGAAGAAGCCGGCATTCATTCGAACGCAACCTTGGCTGGGTTGCAGGTCCGGAACCTTAGTCTTTACAGGGTACAACAAGCGACAAGAGGAAGGCGAACAGACCCAAGACTGCCACTCCAGTTTTTCGTCGCGAAAGCCATCGCTGTCCGTTGGTTTTCCTTGGATTATGTGCAGCGCTATTACATGCAGGTATGCGGTGACGTCCGTGAACAGGCGTGTCGCTTCGATGGTACTGGTGGTGCGGTACAAGTTGGCAGCACTTGGAGAGTCCAGACTCCAGAGGGGGGACCAGCAACAACAGGTAGACGTGATCCGAGGTGGAGAAGCAGAAGTACAAAAGTGGTTTGCTGCGGCCGACCAGGATATATAGAGGTTGCAAACGATAGTGAGTCAGTGACCAGCATACATGGCACAAATGCTGCAGTAACAGTGCGAGAGACAATCCGTCGGCCGGACTGATCCTCAGATGTGGCTACGCTCGATGCTCTCGACGGATCTCGTAAGCCTCGAATCCTCATCCTGTATCGACGTGTCTCGACACCTCCACAGCAGGCCGGCCTTGCAAGACCAGGAGACAGGCGGTGAAGATGCGTACACTTGGCGGCGACCTGTGCGCTACGCCGAGAAGACGAGGTTGGTTTAGCATGAGTCTAGTGAGCGTCCAGGTGGCCAGTCGGCGAGACATCGAGGTGCGAATTCCCGATGGATGGCGTCGTCATATTAATGTAAAAGTCCACTCATTAGTGCCCGGCTTATAACGCTAATCGTGAGCTTTCAATTCATGCAGTGCCGGTCATGTTCCAGCCGGGATTGCAGAAAGGCCCAGGCCCATTGAGGAGGAGGGGTACATGTATTCGTATGTGGGCGGTCTCATGCAGGTAAGCCACTCTTTGTCGCTCTTGCGACCTCTCAAGCTCACGTCGACGAAACAGAAACTGTTGACGCCGGTATTAGTTTGTCCCAAACGTCTACAGATCCTCAACCCGAGGACAAGTGTTGATCACAGCTTCTCAGAATCGAGACGAAGAGGTGAATTTACCCCTCAAGAGGCTCTGGGAAGCTGTCATCATAGGACAGGGGCATGCGATCACCTACAAGGATGTTAAGTGGATTTGAACGAATCAGAAACGAGGCCGTCTTGCCCGGCAGCTGCCCGGGTTTGATCAGCCAATCGATAAGAGCGTGGCTGCTTGGCAGTTGCCGATAAACTGTGGTGAGCGGCGGGGTAGCTTTATCGATGGCTGCTGCGGGGCTCTCCACGAACTAGATCAGTCAGAGGAGAACATGAAAGGATAGCGACATCTTGAGCTGCTCCAGCCGCTTCTGCTTTCAAGATAGCGCCGCTCAACTGAGACTGAGCCTAGGAGAAGGTCAGAGATACGGCAAGCTGCGCAGAGAGATACCGAGCCATGGCGTAAACATACGACTTGGCAACTGGACGTACTCCCACCCTAGCATTGAATGGACAACCCGTCAGGAACTGATGAATCCTCCATTCTCCGCAAATAGTCCATCACAAGACACATCTCAAGATGGGATTTAAGGTGATGGCGCTTGCTACCAATAATCAGTCACCAACACAGAGGGCGTGGATGGGTCTGCGCGGGACAACTCGCATAGCACCACCTGATTTGGAAACTGGGCGTAATTGGGGCGTTAAGCCTGCGTGTCGATGAATTCCTGTGTCGTAACGAATTCCGTACTAAAATAAAGTCGACAATTGTCAGGGTTTCTAAAGTTAGAGGGGTTACCGTTGTGTCAGGTGCTGGACAAGGGCCGGCCTTTGAACCAGCGAATCGCCAAGTGGTCTGTTATGGGTGTGACGGGTCACTCAATCGTCTGCTGGGGTTGCAAAATGCTGCAATCATGGCGCTGAAACCCTCATAAGTGTTCCGCTGTCGCCGATGATGCGGCATCCCCTCGCATTTTCTCACTTTCCACACAGTGCTGCCGGTTGTTCCGTTCTGTCTTGGTTGAGGCCGCATCTTCCGAGCACCCGAGGTTTGGTATGTTAAGTGTGAGTCTTGCTCGTAGATGAAAACGATAAAAGGATTAGCAGAGCAGTGGACATGACTGAGGTAACAGATCAAGAAGCCACCTAATACATGCGGACCTCGGAGTGAGTTGTAAACAGCAACTGGAGGCAGTTGCGACTGTTCGACGAACAGCATCGGCTTCAAGACAGGTAACGCCCTCCAGCTGGTGTTGCTCCTTCCTGCCTGGTTCGCAATCCCACCAGCATGATGGGTCAAGTTCGAATCAATCCGCTCGCGGCAACTGCCTTATGTGCAACTATGACGGGAACATGCTCGTCAGACCGTGTCTATTCGCTTTTCCGCTCTTCCGCTCCGGGATTGGCGACTCATTCCATGCGTCAAACAGGCTAGGAGAAGCGGCAGGTTGAGAGGTGCTTGTTGGGGGCCTTGGGTAAGGTACCTGATACATGCCCCAGCCTCGGATACGTCGCACCCCTCCGCCAGTTTCGCCATTCATGAGCAATAGAAGGGCAGGGCGTAGGGCAGCGCCAAGGTTGAACCACCACAGGAAGTAATCCATGCAGTGAGCGGCCAGCACTCACTTTCCAGTGATGATGAGTCCAGCCATGATCCATCCATCGCTAAGCAACTGCTGATCAGGCGATCCACCTTTCTTTCTGCTTAGGTTCTGTCCATTGGAAACACAGGAAACCCGAACCAACAGAATGGCTTGATGGAAAAAGCATCGGTTCCGCCATGAAACCCTTGCAAGTTGGCTAGCTGCCCTTTGAATGAGCGTGCAGGCGTGCCACAAGCCAGCCTGCAGTTGATCCCTCAGGCTTCAGGTTCAGGCTCAGGTTGGCCCGTGTTCGTCCACCACTGGCTCAATGGTCTCGGACCTTGGGATACACCCAGTCGTATTTGGCTGGCCTCACGGTGTCTCCAACGAATTGCATGAGCATCGATTTCTGTCCACTTTTGTCCACCTCGTCTTTCCGTAGCCAACAACTTGAACAGACACTCTCATCTCCGGTCGGTCAGCGACAAGTAATGGTGCCTCGTTTGGCCAAGTAGTAGATTAACTTATGGCATCTTGGCTCGCACATGTAATCCACCTCATATCTTACACGTGTTGTAGTACGAATCACGCACCATTGTCCGTAACGAGTAAGGCATTCGCACATACTAGCTACATGATCATACTCT